TCCCTGCCCTACATCTCCGCCCCCCCCCCCCTCCCGGCCATGCCCTGCCTGTTGCACGCAAGTTCCTATGTCATCAACCGTGCCCATGCGCTAACTGAGGAACCCACACCGCCAGTGCAGGCAGCCAGCCAGCAGCAGAACGCCAGCCATCCTCCTGCCGCCCGCCGTGCCATTCCAAAGGACGTCCGTCCCCTGCCAATAATAGATGCCCCCGCCTCCCTTCCTGGCTGGCCGCGCCCTGCCCGCAGTGTCATTGGCACCATCCCCCCTGAGATGGGCAACGTGCCCCGCATGAGGCGGTTCCAGGTGGAGCACAACCGCATGCACGGCAAGATACCCGAGAGCTTCAGGCGCGCGGTTTGGGGCGTTCGCCAAATGTGGGGTGGGGGTGGGGCGCAGGCAGGCAGGCAGGCGGGCAGGCGAGGGTATGGGACGGATGTGACGGCTGGCCAACGGCTGGCTTTTGCGGATTCTGTGGTTGGATGCACCTCCAATGGTCGGTTGAAGCGGCGGACTGTGGCATCCCCTGTGTTCTCCAGACCCGCCAAGGCACTTCCTTGTTGCAGGTACCCAGGCGTTTCGGCAGAGCAACCTTCAAATGCGTTCGCCACAATCCTTCAGCCCCTCGCCGCCCACCTCCTTGGTGCACCCGCGCGCCCGCAGGAACATCTCCGACACGCTGACTCAGCTGCTGCTGTCCCACAACGATTTTGAGGGTGACCTGTCGGCCCTGGGCAGCAGCCACCTCATGATCGTGTCTGTCAACGACAACCCAAAGCTGTGCGGCATGGTGCGGCGCACACATTGACCTGCCAGTCAAACGTCGGTCAAACATAGTGATCACGGGATGCAGCCGCGCGGCAACTCCTCTGGACACGCAAGTCCAAATACACACACATGCGCCTGGGCAGTATCGCGCTCTGCCATACTTCGTGTGTCCGTTGCAAAGGTCCAATTACATACATGCGCGCACTGCGGGAGGCCCCGTGACAGACAAACTTCATCATGCCAGACCAGCATCCGCCTGCGAGCAGCGGGCCGGTAGCAGGTTCCCCTGCTCGCTTGCTGGGCTGCTGCGTCTCGTCATCCGAGCCTGCCACGCAGCCGCGCAGTTCGCACTCCCAACAATGCCCTGGCCCGGCCGTCCGCGACGTGCGATCGCAGGTGCCTGCAAGTGTGCGCTACGCCAAGGGCTACAACCCCGCTAAGACGCGCCTGGGGCAGCCCTGCTAGGGGCTCCGCTCACTGGATGCCACGGCGGATGCCTGAATAGCCAGCAGAGCGGCAGCGTTTAGACGAACTTCTTGAGAGGGGTTTGCAACTGGCGGGCCCGGCCGTCGGGGAGAGGGGGTGGGCGTGCTGGGGGCTCGATTGACGTTCCCAGCACCTAGCAACAACATGTTACTGGGACCTCCGATATGCTTTCGGGTTTAGGCACACACACCAAACTGTCTGTTTGTATCTCGACAATGCACTCTTTGTGTTCCAGGAGGTGTAACCCCGCGTCATGCTGTCAAGGGCAACCAGCACACGTGCGCGCTGCACGTTGATGACGAGACACAACTCACGCCCCAGTGCCCACGCGTCCTTAGCCGTGCTGTAGTTGCGCTGTCATTCATCAGCAGTGCGCCACCTCGCGCTGATAGTATCCTCCTATCAGCAGTTCCTTGAGCGCCTGCTCGTGACCGCGCATGCGCTGCTACAACAGCCGCGAGTCGTCCCACCATGCCGCTGCACACACGACCCCTGTGAAAGACTGGCTTCACAGCTTGCTTGTGCTTGAACACGTCCAGCTTCATGCCCTTCAGTGGATTCACCGCACTGCTTCTGAAGGCGTCGCAATGGACAATCGATTACATCACACACCCATTACATGGGCAGAGACAGGGGCCAGAAAATATAAGCTCACATTGAGAACAAAAATTCTGCCCGCTGAGGCGCCGAGACGCCGGCTGGCGCCCTCGCATGGGAGCAATCGCTCTGAAGGCAGCTGGCCGCGAGCGCCAGAGCCCCAGGGGCCGAGCGAAACCAGAGGACCCCTCCAGGCCGCGGCCCCGACGGCTGAACGCACTCCGGCTCCGCCGCCGCTCTGCGCCCTGCGCCCCGCGCCCCGAAGCCGCGCCCACGCAGGCGCCCCGCTCCAAAAAAAGCCCGAAAGGACAACTCAGCAGCTGCACCCAGATGTTGTGCGCTCAGAAGAACAGCCAGGGGTCCTTGTCCGGCGGGATGTACGCATTGGTGGTGGGCAGCAGGCGGAAGGACTCGATCGAGTCCAGGAACCGCGGGGACAGGTCCTCCCAGAGGCCCTGCGGGGGGCAAAAGCCGCGGCGCGGCGGGGACGCAGCGGCGTCAGCGGTTCTGCTGGGCGCGAAAGCAGAGGAACGATGGCGGCCGCACGCCCCTGCGGGCGCGCGTCCGGCTTCCGGTTCGAGGTCAAGGGGCTCCGACGGCTGGCAGTCGTTACGAGGGGGGGAAAACATCAAGGTACGCCGCGTGCGTCGGGGGCCGCACCTCAGGGCACGAGAGGTTGAGGGTGTAGAGGTATGGGGTGCCGTCCAGGCCGGGCCGCACGGTGGTCGCGGCCACTGCGTGCCGGAAGGTCTCTGGGCTGCGGTCGAACGAGGTGGCAGAGCCCTGGCGGGGCGGGCGTGGAAGCGGGAGCGGCAGGAGTGTGTGTGTGTGTGTGTGTGTGTGTGTGCGCGCGTGCGCGCGTGTGTGTGTGTGTGTATGTGCACAGGACTGAGGGCGCCAAGGGGGGCGTGGCAGGGGGACCAGGGGTGGTGGAGAGGAGGCGTGGCTGTCCGGGGGTGAGCGGCCGGGGACAGGGGTGAGCATCACGGGGTGCAGTGCCAGTGCCTGAAAGATCCGCCCTCCTGGGGGCAGGTGTGCACCCCACGCGGACGGGGCCGTTGTGATGCGTCAGCCGTGGCGCGCCGGGGCGCCCCGCCCAGGCCGCGCGCCACGGGCTGCATGGCCTGACTCTGATCAAAGTCCCTGTGCCCCCGAAAAGACAGCCCGCAGCCCTGCATCCCTACAGCCCACAGCCATGCAGCCGCTGCAGCCACGCAGGCGCTGCAGCCCCGCAATCGCCAAAACTGAAGCGGCCGCCAAAGCTGAAGCAGCCGCCGCAGCCAAGGAAGCCGCAGCCGCCGCCGCCGCACCTGTGCCCTGTGCTCATACACGTAGTACTTCTGCCCGCCGCGCTCCTCCACCCGCGACTGCTCCACGTCATTCAGCGCGGTGCGCTGCCCCGTCGTCTTCCGCGCGGTCGACCTGCGCGCCAAGCACGCGCGAGCGCACGCATTCGCGCACGTGAGCACGACGGCTTGCAGGCACAACAACGTGATTATGACGCTGGGCCTGCCGATGCGCGCGGCGGGGGCCAGCCCTCGGATCGAAGCGGCCATCAAAGGGGCTGCAGCCGTTGCTCTGCAGCGGCTGGAGCCACCTGCTCCCCTCTTCTGGGCGCCAAGCCGCCAGCTCAGCCCCAGAGTCATGCGCGGGCTCCCGCTCGCGGCTGCCCGGGTTCCCTCAGACGTGTTGTCGCCGTCTGTCGCCCGCAGCTGTTCAAACGGGGCGGCGGCTGCCCTCACCGGTCAATGAGAACCGTGAGGGCCACGTCCTTGGCCCTCCACTGCTCCTGGGGCGCGTCCTTGAGCACGCCCGACGCGGGGCCGACGGTCAGCGAGACGGTGACAAACCTGGGGCGGGGCGGGATGCGGTAGCGGAGAGATGGAGGCGGCGGAGCGGCGTCACGCCCTGCTGCTGCTGCTGCTGCTGCTGCTGCTGCTGCTGCTGCTGCTCCTGTATGCCAAACTCCGCCGCATGCGGGGCAGCAATCATTGGGTGTCCGAGCTCCAAGCATTGCGCGAGCTCTCCCTGCTTCAGGGGCCGCGCTGTTGAAGCTGCCTCTGCAAGCACCCGCGGCTGGCGCTTGAGCCGGGGCTGGGAGTACATATTTGGCCGTCTTGTACGAGCGATTCAAAACTACCAGCCGTTTGACGGGCCCAGCGCGGTCCAAGAAAACGCCTGAGCAAGGCCGCACCTGCGCAGGTCAAACAGCTCGCTGACGATGCGCTGGCGGGCGTCCGCAGACAGCGGCGCCGCTGAGGAGTACTTCTCCGGCGGGCGCGTCAGCACCTTGCGGCGGGAAC